GCCAGCGTGGTGGACTCGGATGGAAGGCACCTGACGCGTGGCTCTGGCTTCTGATTGGTCAATAAAGCCTGTTCTGTTGTGCCGGTCTTTTACCTATTAGGGCTCGGGTATTCTACAGTGATGACGTCTGAGGGCGCAGGCATATTGGACCACGCTGGTCTCAGCCAATCCTGTGTCCCTTTGCGTTCCAATGGCATGCAAGGAAGATAAGCAGCTGACCAGAGAAGGACACGAATGAGGCGCAGTATAAAATGAGCGGCATGGCCAATGGGGCGGACTCAGATGGACGGCGCTGGACATATGGTTCTGGCTTGTGATTAGTCAGTAAAGCCCGTTCTGTTGTTCCACTCTTCTCCATATTAGGGCTTTGGTATTCTACAATCGCGATGCACGGGGGCGCAGACATATTGGATCATTCTGGCCGCAGCCAATCCATCGCCTTTGAGCGTATGAATGGCCTGCGGGGATAATTTGGAGCTATCTAGAGACAAGGACGGATGATATGTAGCGCGCCTACCAAGCAGGTACCTAAATAGGTAGTTAACTGTTAGGCCGCCTTTCTTAGATAGCCACACCATCAGGGTTAACTACCAGGCATAGAAGCATAATAGGAAGAACGCACGTATTCCAGACTACCGCATGCAAAGTTAGAGGACCGGCGCTTAGAGAGAGTTAGAGGAAAGGGATGGTTGTGAGGAGGGTTGGCGCTGCCCGCAGACTTAGGAGCGTGCCTTGAGAAAGACCAGATTGCGGGAGCGAAGAAGTCGAAGAACAGGCCAAATCAAATAGTGAGGGTTACAGATAGCAAGTATATACTGAGCGCCGCAGCCATTGATGGAATCAAATGAACGATGTCTGATGTACGGTTTTGATTTGTGATTAATCATTGGAGCCTTCCTTTTGTTCATGACTTCTTGATAATAGTGCCATGGCATTGTATGCAGTGAACGGTTGTCTACTGCATAAATGAATAGGTCAGGCAAACGGACAAAATGGGTTTAGCTAAGATCCTGTCGATATTTGAAATTGCTGCGACCTAGGCGTACTACAAGCGAACATTGGCATTGGAGATAATATCGCATCCAGTAGCAATTCACAGAGGGGAAATAAATCTTTTATGAATGTGATAACTATCTGTCTATGAATACTTAACTACTTCAGAGTGAGAAAACTGTAAAATCAGCTTTGCAGAGCAAAGTCGACGCCAGTCAGTATTGTGCGCCATTCCGTCAGCCAAAGCTAATCTAATTTGACCTTTTGTCTTATTATATTTGCCCTAGAAAATATCTTATTTGATGCCAGTCAGGTAATGTTAACGACCAAAATATCAACCATTACTAAGTCCCATTGTGTATATTAAACATGCGAGACAAAGTCAAGAAGTTTTCCTATCAACAATAAAGCTGGCCTCGGATTATTTATTAGGAAATTTAATTTTTAATTGCTATAACATCGCATATGCAAGAGCTTTCTAAGTTACTTCATGTATTACGTTAAAATACTTAAAAAATATCATAATTTAGTAGGCCATTGGTTTTTTAAATGTTTATCCAAATGATAACAAATCATGAGAGGCTATCTTGGGTAGAACACACAATCATGACAAGTTTTAGCAATTCAATAAATTTCATTCAAAACTTGTTTAGTAAAATTTACTGAGTAGCCTCGTTTAATGTTAAAAAGCAGAAGAACTTTTGCAAGACAAAATTAGATCAAATACTTTTGTTGCGCAAGCGTTTGCACCAATTCATGGTTGATATCATTTTACCAAACACCAGTTCATTGTGATCATAATGGGTCCTTAATTTTTAACTAGTTGAATACTCCTATTAACAAGCATATCATAGACCTTGGAACAATTTTATCGATTCCTCACGATATTTTATTTGTTACACAAAAATGGCTATTTATAAAATAATTGCGGCTGATTAATAGCATACAACTAGCCCTAGATAAGTTTTAATTTTGTATTTAGCCTTAAGTACAATTCTAAACAATACGATGGCATTAGCTTGATGCGTTCTGCTTGTTGTGCATGAGTTCAGTGTTTAACTGACTTAAGGTGTTTTTGCCTTTTCGACGAATTCAAAGGTAAGTTATTGTCTGGTGTTTTCGCGCATAGTTGGTGATTTCATGCTGATTTTACTCCACTTTGAATGAAACACTGTGCCCAACTATTATGGTAATTTTTTACGCTAGCCTAAAAATGACGTTTATAGAAAAGGGAGATTTTGACTATCTTTATCGGACAATGTGGTGTCCAAATCGGAACAAATTTTTGGGAACAGCTACTTTATGAACATGATATTAATCCAGATGGCTTTTCTCAGCTAAAAAAAACAGACTTTGAGTCAGTACACGAGCCTTTTGCCTTTTTTAACGTGACAAAAGAAAACCGATATGTGCCCAGGACAATTTTTATTGATGCGGAACCTACAACCATCGGCAAGTAATATTTCGTTTTCTCACACGTCATATGTCCATTTCAGTTTTATTGTATGAGGTGTAATATAGTTTCTTAGCAAATGATAAAGAACATGGCCCAAACGTGGCTTCCTTTTCTGACGCACAAACTGACCTTATATTCACGAACGCATGAATAAAGTATATCAATTCGTTTCTTTACCGTATGCGAGCACCTACGCTATTAAAAGGGTTCACTATGAAGATGTTGGAAGTTTCCTTCTGAGCGTTTTGATCCCTGAAATATTCCGATTCGCCTTTCTTAACAGTATCTTATTAAGTTAATATTTTGCTTTGTCTAAATCATGACAGGCATTTTTAAATTGATTTTTACAAAGAGTGGTATTCATTAAGAATTTTATCATTAATACAACCCTGGTTTATTTGTGATTTTAATCTGAGAGCATTGAACAGTTTAGTGGTACGTTGAAAATTGTCATGCGACATATATTTTCGTGCATGTTCTTCCAAGTGATTTTGTTTATAAAGTTCATTTACAAAATTAGTTGTGTTTTTTATTACATAATTATTGACTTCAAAGAAATGCTTAGAAGGACAGCTCTCTTATGAACGCAAATCAAAAAGTTCAACTTAACCTAATACTTGCTCCTCGACACAACTGTTTTTTTTAAAAATTACTCACGCAGTTATCATTTGTGAAACACAATGGCAAGCGTTGTTTGATACTGTAGATTATCAAGACTTCTAAAAGTAAGGTGGGATTGAGTTTTAATCGTCGCTTTACTTTCTATGCTTGTGCGTTCGATTCATGACGCTTTCGGTTTTAGCGAAGACATCAACATCACATATATGCCTAATTTCTTGTACTGGTCAATTAACTACCTTCGAACAGTTTTAGTGAAGTTTGCTTTTGGAAGTGTGAAGGTGTGGCTTTCTTGGTCATTCATGACAAAAACGTGATTAAACAACAAATTTAAGAGATTTCAAACATCCGAATGCATATGCAATTTCTAAAACCAAATTGCTACATGCTTATCAGCTAGTCAGTAGATATCTCAAAATAGGTCTCATTAAATAATTATCATGAGAAATTATTTGTAAAGAGTGCAAGTTAATATATTCATATTTCTTCATTTTCTGTTAAACACACATAGCAGTATCCTTGTCCTAATCAAAATGACTCAGACTCTCATAAATTCTTTTGAGTTCAGACAAGATATATGGCTTTTGGGTCGCGTCTTTTTGTTGAATTTAAGGCAGAAGTTGATGGGGTTTTAGAGGATATTGACAGTTACAAGACAATGAGATCCCTACTGCAAGGTATCCGTTATGACATGTGGTGAACTAGCATTTCAGTATCGCACTCAAAGTTAAATATGGTGCCACGTTTCAACCGTTCTTTTTATGATGGATAAGTACGTTTATAATACAGATAGCAATGCTAAATTGTGTCAGAAATATTTTCTCAACTTTGTATTTGTTTTACAGAGGAAGCGAAGAACGGTCTGTTTAGAAGCCTTTTCAACCCTCTCTCTTTTATCCATGGAAAGGAGGAAGCAGCCAATAACTACGCAAGGGGACGTTTTATCGTAGGTGGTGAACTTCACGAACCAATTGTCGAGCGTATTCGCAAGGAGTTAGAGGCAACCGACAACTGCCAGGGCTTTGTTATAAACCACAGTATTGGTGGAGGTACTGGGTCTGGCCTGACTATGCGCGTAATGGAACATCTCACCAACGTCTACTCAAAAGCTGTTGCCGTCCAGGTAGGATTGAAAGGGACCTAATGTCAAGATTATCGTAAAAATTTAACCTTCATCCTTTTAAACGGTGATGCCTTTTGCAAATGGTATGGTGTGCAAACTTTATTTTCAACAAATTCCAAAGTGCATAAGATTGCATTCACTTAGACAGGTTAACTGGTCTCTTCTCTTATAGTACTAATCATTGTCTTAACGCCTTTCTTCGGAATTTATTTTGATTTTTAGACTTTTGTGTGATACTGTGCATTGTATGCTAGTAAGATCTAGTCAACGTTGTTTTTCCCGCATAGTGGGATGACCGTTTATAAGTGATCTAGTATGGTGCAACCACCGATCGCGGTAATTTTAGGTACATATGCCCTGATTAAAAAGGTAGACAAATCTGGTGTGTAAATGTTAGTATTTTTTTGGTTTGAATTAGTTTAACTTTGATTTATTAGTAAATCGTGGGTCCATGATGGCATTTCAATGAAAATATTTGTTAGAAAAAACGAAACACTAGATCTTGCTTAAGAATACTCCAATTAATGGCTAAAATTGGAATGCTTCAAATAATTTAAATTTGATTTCCTGAAAAGTCTGACACTTTAGCCAAAGAGGTTCTTTTTAAAAATAATCCCGATAGTGAGTTGTTACTTAGGGAACTATTCTACCTAAAATCCAACAAATCAAGGTAGTATTTAACATTCAAAATACGTGAACGGTTCCTGAAGCCTTAGCGGCTTTCTTCCAGTGCAATATTAAAGCGTATTATTTAAGGGCATATTCAGTCAAATGTTAATAGTCAGTACACGTTAGGACTTCTTATTTAACGTAAGCACCTTGTAATCAAACTATAAATCGAAGGTAAACTTGAATGACCTGTCAGAGCCCTAATCTTAAAAGCCATTATTCCGATTTTATCATCACTTGGGACAACTTTAATTTAACTACACAAAGTAAGGTACACATCTGATGTTTTGCCCACAATGAGTTTCAGACTGTCTTTTGTGGCCACATTTTTGAATGGTTTTTGTAGGTCCCAATCCTTCCATCAGAATATCTATCTACTGCTGTGGTCGATCCTTACAATGCCGTCCTTCATTGTGGCTCTAACATGCCATACAGTAACTTAACAATCATGATGGACAATGCTGCAATTATGAGCCTACTCTCACGTCATCTGCAAATTGAGAAGCCAACAGTCATCTTCCTCAATCGCCTCATTTCGCAAATCCAGAGCTGCCTATTCTGTGGCTTTCACTACAACGCTGACCCCATTTGCAGTACTCTTGAGGAAGTGACTACAAATTTAGTTCCTTTCCCTTCACTACATTTCGCGTACCTTCGCTACGCTCCGATTGTTGGCACCCCTAGGCAGGACTTCCAGACTGCCGTACATCCGGCCGAGGAACTAACGAAGGCCGCCTTAAGTCCTAATTACAGCACCCTTTCGGCTGATAAATTTCCTAGGAGTAAGGTAATCTCAACTTGTCTCTCTTTCCGAGGCGCTGCGGCTGGGTGGCAACGTGGCTTGGCAGCCGCAATTCTTCACTCAAAGATAAGCCAGTCTCTCAGTTTTGTTGATTGGTGTCCTACAGGCGTAAAGATAGCAATACATGCCGTGCCACCCCTACGACCTGTGCCCGAGTCCTGTCTAGCCGAGAGCCCTGCGAATCTGACCATGCTTGTGAATGGAACCGCGGCAACCCAGCGGGCTCTACAAACTATCAACGCACAGTTTTCAAGGTTGTATGAACGACGATGCTTCGTGCATTGGTACGTTGGAGAGGGAATGGAAGAAGGGGAATTCACAGAGGCATCTGACGTCGTAACCAATATTATTTCACAATACAATAATGCGGAGGCATCAGAACGGTAGTTGTGGTTAAGCATGTGATTTAAGGGATGCGGGATACCGGAAATACTACCTACTGGTGTTAGAAAATGCATATTTTGTGTTTTTTTCGCAGAATTTTATCAGCACACTTGTTCTGCAGGCTTGACGACCCAGATTTGGGGTTAAATATAGTCAAGCAAATGCCTGCAAATAAAATTTAACTTTCTGTAGAACAAATCAGTCGTTTATACAAGCATGTGCATGTTTTCGGATTGACAGGATTCTGTTTGTGGGAATGCCAAAAACACACTTTGGGGTCGGGTGAACATTTCAGTAGAATGGTTCGTTGTGATCAAATTATTAAATATCAGTACTTCACCGATTTTAATATATCACCAATTAACTTATTGGACATATATATTTGTGCTTCAATTGCAGTATAATTGAAAAGTGAAGGGAGACGACTGCACGTAGGTCAAGTAAAATAAAAATTACATGTATTCGGAAGGAAATTAGACGCGAAAGTTGAGGGTAAGTGTAATTTCTGCGACACTCTTAATTGTCTTTAACTCAGAAAGTTTCTCATTCTGTGGGGGAATATAATTGTATTCGATGTTCTGACCACCCTAAGAAACACATTACCATGCTGTATCGCGGTACTGTACTTTGAACCGTTGGCACGTGTGTATGATATGACACCGGTAAAATGGACATGGTGGCGGCCCCGAAAAGTGGCCTCGAACCCCGCCGGGCTCAATGCAGCTGTTCTGTCGCGTCAGTGTGCAAAGAGCCGTATGTGACCAATGGGTCTGTTGACCTATACAAAGTGGGCGAACTTGCAAAAGTACCATGGCTGAATGGCCAGATGGGTGGAATGAGCAGAGGTGGAGGTGCATGCGCGTAGGTGTGAGCAGACGGCCCTGTGTGACTGACGGGCAAGCTCTAAACGGAGGGCAGTGTGTCGGGGACTTCATTTTGGATCAAATTAGTTGTAAAATTGGGCCGTATAAAAGTGCTTGAGAAGCCTCATCCATTGCCATGCAGTAAGCCTGGTTTAGTGGTTGTAAGCAGTACACTGATAACCACTTTGCCCTGCCACGTCCATCAAATATCGTGCATTGCAATAACTTCAACTCGGCATTACCAATATAGGATCGACACAATGCATTATTGATCAAACGGCCTCATTCGCTAAATCGCATAATGGTAGTCTAAATGTAATCACTCTCTCAATATCAAATCCGGATCAGCAACATATCTAAAAGGCCTATCCTGATTGGAGGTTCACTTTTACTATCACGAAAGACTTACGTATTAATGAATATCTTTTAATAGAAGTAGCTGCTCAGCTCTAGATAGGTAGCAACGTATCGCTTATGGTGTTAATGCACTTTTACGATTAGAACATCAAGTGCTCTGCAGCATGCACGTCATTAGTTGGAAAAAAACAGTAGACGAAATGCTAGAAAAGGCGTGCAAATGTGCGTAGGATCGCGATATTTCTTCGCAAAACACCTGGATACATTTTTAATTTCCGAGAAAATTCAGATCAAAGCATGGCAAGAAAAAGAAACCCTAAAAAATTAAGGCACTTACCAGACGTAAACCGGGGATGTAACAAATTTAAGACAAATGATTTGGTAGTAAAAGGTTTTTTTAATTGAGAGACTTATTTAATTTTATAAAAAACCTTAGTAGGATATGCACTTAATTAAGTGGCTACATCACAATATATTATGATTTTTAGGAATCGGCTCGACTTACATTTGAAACCATTTTAACTAATTTGCCTTTAATGACATTATTTCCACCTTTTTCTATAGCTAGAAATCATATTTCTTACTCTTGGTTCATTTTGCATTCAGTGCTAAATTTAGCCCCCATGAAGAATAAGTATCACGAAATATTGGAAACTGTTTTAGGTCAGCGTCTGAGGTCATAGGCAACAGTAAACAAAAATTTCCTGCTTCGGAATGCTTTGTCACACATGGTTAACTTAACGGTTTGATGGGTCTGTCAGTGCACAAATCGGCAGTTCGAAGTACTGCTAAGAGAAAAAGCCCCAGTGTAATAGTTGATCACTTTATTTAAAAGGTAATTGGACCAGACACCAATAAAAGTTTATTTTTTCACAAATAACTTTTCCTGTTTTTATTACTTTTGCCACCATAGAGATACTCGGGTATAATATCCGAATCTTCCGTGTCGGATACGTAGAAAGGCTCCCCAGTGTACCTTTGTGGCTCCACAAGAAGTGGTTCCGCTGAGATAGCTAAAAGGTTGCGAGGGCCGAAATGGGAGAGCCAGAGTTTGTTGGGGTGCTGATCGAACATGATCGGAAGAAACTCGTCCACCGCTACCATCTTCTCTAACGGTCGCTGAGCCATCAATTTGTGGGCTCCGGAGCGTCGGAGGACGTAGGCCAGGGTCCAGTAGGTGTAGCTAGGAAAAGCCAAGTGGCGAGTGCCTGGAACCATCTCTTCATTGCTGGACATGCGTTTACGACCAACGTAAAGCAGCTCCCAATCAGGCATACCAACGTCAGCTTCCTCAACAGTCGCTCGTAGACGACGAGTAAAACCGGGCACAAAACGCAGGTCATCCTCTAGGATTAGAATGCGTTCATAGTCGTCCGTGAGCATATCCTTAGAGGAACAAAATGAAACACACTTACGAAATTATCCTTCGACATTGCAATACATGTAACTGCGAAGCCCAACGTCTTTCAACCCATTTACGTTGTTCGATAAACGAATTTAATCAAAACACTTAGTTAGAGCGTCAAAAACGTCATCTATTATTCAGTGCAACTGATTGCGCACGCAAAGAATTGAACCCATTTAGGAGGAAACGAATGTGTTTACTCCAGAATATTTTACATCAAGAAATTTCTACGTAAAACCAATCGAAAGTGCTTGATCTGATTTTGTCCAAGTAAATAGTCTCAAGCAAGATTTTTTTATGGAATACCATCGTTTGGTTATTTCCAATTTCAGAAACCTTACGAGGTAAAACGAAGCAATTATACTAATTTTTCAGATAATCTGAACACTCATAAAATTAGGCAGAGTGAAACAACTCTTAATTAATTAAAACCCGAAACTGTACACTGACACTCAAACCTATGGTAAAATGAAGTTACTTATTAAGTACGTAAATCATAGTTACCTCACATTCTCGTGGTTTCCGGTATTTTTGCCCTTAGTGATTTGGATTGTGAGGTAGCATTTCGAATTTATGATTGCGAAAGCCATTTTACAGGTTTTCTATGAAAACTACTTTTTCCCACATTGAAATGCGTTCCTTAAATCACATAAGTATCCCTAAAAACATGACACCATAGTGTTACATTTTGCAAACGTCGCATCAGTTTGTAGACATAAATACCGACAGCGATTCAGCTTCTAAAAAATCCACAAGCGAACAAAAATCACAAGGCTATTTTTATTTAAAGATAGACTACGACAATTAGGCAAAGCGACGTTATTGATTTCAGTGAACTCGCACTACAATTTCGAGGTGAATTTGACATTAAATTGTTTTTGATCCTGTTGATTCATGTTCATTAATCTGGTCACTCCATTCTCCTTAACTCACACCAGATTAGCGTGGGTGTTTATCCTGGGTTATCATTACGTGTAAAAACAAACTCCTCCAAGTCTCGACGTTAGCACATTTATAACACTATTTCGCATATATGAGCTATTGATATACACTCGCAAACGCAACGCTCGATGAATTTATCCTCGTGTATTATCTAAACCAATAAATTTTGTTCGTTTAAAATATCTACTTCCTAACTTTTAATCACATTAAATTTTGTCACACAAAACTATAGGTCTCATTGCCGAATAAACTGGTACCGGCCCCGACTTACAGTTATCCCACATAATTTAATCTGTCGCGTTTCATGCTTGTCAACGATCAATGGGATCACAGAGTGGCCACAATAATTACTACAATCATTGAATTCGACATCAATAAAGCACGCAACCTTATGCCGATTGCCACGCAACCGCTCCCATGACCAACTTTTACACGATGTAATCATGGACAATTATTTAATAAATTGGACCAGAAAGGAAAGAAGGGTATTAAGAACGCATTCGCCGATGCTCCTAGTGTGGGATTTCGCCGTTTAAACTATTTATGCACACATAGCACTTATCTTGCAATTGTTCAATTCCCTAATTCTAAGTCACGGCGTTTCGAACACTCTTTTAAAAATTTTAAGTAAATTGTTATTTTGAGAATACGAAATTACACCATCAGTGGAAACTATGATTGCTTGGCTGTAATGTGCTTAAGTCAAATATTAAAAAAAACAAATGTTTTTAATTTAAAAAAATCACCTGCCAAATCCGATAATGACTCAGGAAGCACCCAATCTCGCCGTACTTAAGAGCTCTTTTGTGATAGGGGTCAGCATACCCTGACAACTGTGTGATGTTCCACTGTTTAATGCTCTCCGGGTTGAGCTCCTTTCCATCGGTGGCTCGAATCAACTTCGCCTCAATACCCTGTTCACGCAAAGCATACGTCATCTTCTCTAGCCTATCTGGTCTCCTTTCCAAGTTAATGAGGTAGATCTGATCAAACCCAAGGCGAGACGGTTTGGGAAGTTCTGTGAATCTTTCCATCAGTGGAGAGACTTTCAAAGCGAGCTCCTTCGGGAGAGCATCATCGAAAGCGGCATTCAGCCGGAGATGTAGAAATAGTTCGGCTTCCCTCTCAAGTAAATACCTGGATGAGTCACGATAGAGCCTCGGAATCTGCGCCTCATCAACGGGCAAGGGAAAGTAACCATAGAATTCCCGGTTGTCAAGGTAAAATTGGATACCTTGAGCTTGAGCGTTTCTGGCAAAGATTATGATGTCGTCGGTTGGCCCTTTGTAGCCGGGAGGTGGGGGATCAAATGCTAGACGTTTATCCTTGGTGTGTCGTAAATTCACCAGGACGGCAGTGTGAACCATTGCCACGGGGTAAATCCCACTCTTTTGCCTGCGTTGAAGATCAAAATAATCGGCCGATCGCTTGTAATAACCTTCGGCAGTCATCTCGCCCCAAAAATTAGAGAACACATCGGAGGTGGTGCAGTTGAGCATTGGAGCAATCACAGTAATCGGTGTTGGATAATCTTGCATAGGCAAAGCACTTGCTTCCACAAGTCGCCTTAAGGTCGCTTTGTTGAGCAAAATAACATCAGCATCCAAGTTAAAGAAATAATCGGCATTAAACGCATAGGCACGTTCAAGGGCTTTTTGACGCAACTTTATCAGGTGTTTGTGATGATCCTGGGCCCAGTTGGGGCTAATGGGATTCGAACTCCTCTCATCTATCTCCAGTTCAACACTGTGGTACAAACCTCGGACACTATCAACCCAAGTTTCAAGTATCCGAGCACTTCTATCAATCGTGTTATCAACGCGGAAGTATAGATGAATACGATCTTTGGGGTAATCAAGTTGCTCGAGATGACTCAGAAAGTAGGGAAGACTGTGAGCCTTGTTTCTTACCAGAATCCCAATGCTAACAGAGGGTTCAATGACAGGAAACCTATTGGGCTCTTCACCAGAACGAACACAAGTATTTTCACTTTTAGAGATTGCCAAATGGAGAATGATGACTAAAAAAAGAGAAGAACACAAGAGTGGTTTAGTCATTGCCTAAAAAAGACTTCTGATGATAACGCCAAAACGCTGGTGCAGCCCCAGCTGTCACGGAAAGGGAAAAGTGAAACCCGGGAGGCTTAGCCAAGTCCCCGAAAATGACAGTTGATTCTGCACTAACCGGATTGGTCATCAACCTCATGACGTGGCAGTCGTGTGTGCTGATTGGTGTAACATCGTTTTTGCAATTTGCCACAGCTAAAATCTGTCCCAAGCGTGCAAGCATGTTAGCCAATAGGAACGCACAAGAGCAGAAGCCTAGCACCACAGTCCGATTGGCATGCGAAAGGGAAAATTACTTGAAAAATAAATAATCTGCATTTTAAGTGTACACCTGCCATTGCCACACAGTCACTGGAATCCAACAGCTAAACTGGGATCCTACTCCTTGCAGAGTATTCCTCTATCTACATCATTGATTAACATGCCACAAAAACCCTGTTGTGCCCCTTGGGGGCACCTGGGGTCTTTATTCATAAGAAAGGTCCACCATGGCAATCTTTATAATACAATTTTTAATCTTATTTCACCTTTTTTAATTTCAACCAACTGTAGCAACAAGTCTTCTAACTAAGCACATTTTAAGTTGCGAGCTGAAATTTTTTCTGTTTATTTTCTTATCTAGATGAACGCTTTACAAGTGAGGGAGAGTAAAAGTCTGAAATGCTATTTTGAGTGATTACATTTGTGTAGTCTCAATGAGGACGAACTCATAAAGGATTGGTAGAGTCAACACTCAAATATATGTACGTAGCCTTTTCTTGAAATTAAGCGTAAATACTGAATATGTTTGTTCATTGCTTACAGGCGCAATCTAGATTTTGGCTATTATGGGAAAAGGACGTCATCTGAACATTCCCTAACAATAATTCTTATGGGAAATACTGGATAATGGCTAAACTTCCTGGTTAAATTCATTGATAAAAGTTACAAATAGTATGCCTTCCGTTATCCAAAGGTGTCTTAGAAGGTTTTTTCAACAAGAAAGATGCCTGATGCTGATACAGAATCCCTAAAAATCTTGGACGTCCATTTAGAGTGAATGTCTGGCGCAAAGAAACAAAATATTAGGTTTAATTGTGAATACTGCAACTTTTTATACCAATCTGGAATCAAAAGATTATTTGAAATGGTAAGTTAAAATGTTCATTGTGTGTACCATGTTAAAAGACCGTTTCTATCACATAAACCCACGGAGGTAAATCAAAATGTGGCAATTCACGCGAGCGTGGCTGCCATCTCAATCGCACGTTGTGCCTACCAGTATCACACCCAAGCCATCTTCCTGGCAATTTCTCATCGAGATACATTCTCCCCTAGGTTTTCCACTGTGGCAGGGGGCTTTTTGGTTTAAAAATGAACTGGGCATGTTTATTTGCCCCAATTTCGTCAAATATGCATTTCCGAAGCATCTTTATATAGCCGCCAATGATTTATTTTCTCGCAAATGAAAAGGGCCATACGAAAACTTACTAAAGACGACACATAACGCATCTACTTTTGGTGAGTCACTTCTGCGTTCAGTTGCGGAATGTCAATTTTTTGTAAAAATGTTAACATTTTGCTCGTTTACTTTGGCAGGCAGGTGGAATATAGCCCCGCCACTAAGAGCAATACGGTGTTCAGCGTCCTCATCTTTAGGTTTCTTTCACTTGTATTCGCAGAAAATTTTCTGATTTTGCTTATCACTCTTCTTTAAGGCTTGCACAACGTAAGGTTTGTCAGTGGCTAGTTGCAATCACTCGATTATAGTATACCAAACAGTTGACTGAAGGATTCAAGTTTCCAAAGTTGCTCTTTGCACAGATTTCCATAAATTGTCGCTAAAAACTTTGCAAACTCCTGTTAATCCTCGCTCGTGAAACTGTTGACCGTCCAACACAAACAAGCTTTCTCTTAGAAATCTTCTGTGTTGGGTCCTAATCTACTTTCCTGTTGGCGGCTATCTAAGAAGTCCAAAAGCGAATGAAACTTGCGTTTTCACATTTGACAAAGGTTTCTTACTTTTCCTAAGATGCTTAATCACCCAGAATGCTTAGAACATAGATGCTTCATTTATTTTCCTGATTTAAAATTTTCATTCATATATACAAGTCAGATCAAGTCATTTTGAATAGCATTGCTCAGTTTCGGATTTAAAAAGATGGTTCGGTGCTCACCATTTCTTTTAAATTTCATGATTTAAATCCCATAACTCGAGCAATTTCATCGAACTCAATTGATTGGACCAGGCAACTGACAGGACAAGTTTAAAAGACCTTAAAATTGATCACTTTTTACCTAATAATTAGGTCACAAGACTGAATTCACTTAGAATACGAGAAAAGTGCATTATTTGCTCATGGGCAGCCAATAAAGATGTCGATTTTGTGACTCACATACTTGTTTGAAAATCCTCGATGAATAAGATCAAAAACCGACATTTAGACCAAAGTTGAAACTACCAGATCCGTCTCGAAATACCATCGCCTAGTTAAACAACCTCACTGAAATCGGCTGCGTTAGGTCGAACCAAGCCAATGTCAGCGCTTACCCAATCAGGTTTGCTGTTATTCTGCCGCATCTGCCAGGGATAAAGGATCCAAAATACGGTTTATTACCACTTTTTATTAGCGATAAACAACCCTGCATTATGGAACTTGTTGCAATAAAAATCAATACTAGGGCGTATATTCACACTTTTTCAAATTTATCGATTAATCTTATCTCTATTACTAAAAGTGACGATGATGTTAGCCAAAGTAGCACGTGGCATCGAAACACGAATGGTTCTTGGTAAGAGTTAACCTAACCTTGGTCATGCACTAGGGGATGGCACAGTCGACACAGTATTCAGTTGTTGGTTTAAAATACTACGTACCTTACTTCAAAAATTTCGATTGAACTGAACGCAATATTTACAATTTGCAAGTAGGCCAAAAGAACCAGTCTCAATGTTGGGACCTCCGACGGCAGTTATGAAATCTCTACCTCATTTTTAGCAAAAATTTCAAGAACTGCCCCAATTATGGTATCTAAAACATCAGAGGGAAATATTGTAATTGTCAATTGATATCTGTCAATGATGTGCAACTAACCAAGCCGCAAGTCAAATTAATGGCTTCTTCTCTATGAGTCTTATTTATGACGGACTTTGGAGCATCAACAATTTGTTAAATCGATTACCCGAAAGAGTTAGCTCAAATACATTAGAGAATACATGGTTATCCTGCAGTTTCAAAAGCAGTCTTATCTGCTGCAGCAAACGCTATGACGAAATGCACAGGTGGCAAACATTTTGGGTTACAATGATGTCGGCTATGGGTGACCCGATTCCTTGGACATCTACCGCGCATTTCATGAGTGCTGTTGCAACCATGGGTAGGTGATGAGAATCTTGCAATTGGCAGAGGGTCTGATACAAACACTGCTGCTGAAATGAATATTTCAATTTACAGTAAAGTATAGTGCGGTCGTAGGGGAAAATTAGGTCATTTTGTATAACATTTCTAGAGTATTATTTTTTACCATAAGGGACCTACTCTTGTTTGACTTTGTAGTTTCTGTTCAATATGCAAAAAGGGGCTTCCGGTCACTAAAATGTTAATCCCCTGACTGTTAATTGTTCATTAAAAATGCTTCTGAACAAATTGGAAAAAAATCCTATTACCGAATAAGATGTTGCGTCGAAATCGTCATCTTAGTTGTGGTGAATCTTGGTGACTCACGTCCATCAAATCATTCGAGGTATTGTCAAACACCTGTCAATCATCGGCGTGCGTGTTCAGTTCTCAGCATCTCCATCGCATATGCGATCACGCCTGAGGATGTGCCCATCCGCCCATATCCCTCCTGTGTGTGCCTATGACTTTGCATGGGTGCAGGCAGTAACACTCAACCTGATGTGTCTGCTCGTCTGGTGTTCATAACTTTCGCGGGCATCAGCTCATTCAAATCTGGCTGTTCCAGCGTGTTTACGGGACCCATTGCGGTGCCACTACAAGTGCTGACATCAATGTAAAATTCGTACTTAATTGGCAACTCTCGCCGATAAAGCATCTCCAACAGATGATCCAGGTTTTCTACAAAGAGTGACTAATGTGATCGCTTAGCTAGATTTGGTGCTACATTGCATTATTTTGTTTGTTCTCGAGTTCTGAGGATGTCAACTAACAGCAGCGTCGTAGCATGGACATGCTAACTGCTGAAATTGGTGACCCCGGCGTGATTCGAACATCCAGCATTGCCTTCTAGTGATGGTATAATATCTTCTGGCCTACCTAGCCTTCAATTATCAAACCTGGGATCTTCATTCTCACTGTTTGGATGAGTCATTAACTTCTTGACATTGAATAATACAAAAATGGGCTATAGAACATCAATATGCTAGTTGCTAACAAGTACGCAGTTACGTCATTTGGAAAAGTGTGAAGACGTTTTGCAGTGGTGCTTCATAACTGAGCTACAACCTCTCACATCATTTGCCTACTTTAAAATTCCCTGGACGAAATTGGCCCATAAATGTAAGTTATTATTTGTTTACAACGTTGAAACACGTACGTATGCTATAGGGAAGCCAGTACGTGCACGTCACCTGTCTGCCACATGGATCGATGTTTCTTGAGTGTATCAAAAGGTAAATTCCCTAATTTTGAGATTTACAAGATGTGATCATCAGAATTTCTCAAAAACGAGGCAGAAATATACCTGTCCGACACCAATTACACAAATAAATGAATCTCCCTTAAAGCTTTGGGGAAAAACACCGGACACTAGGGACTTTTGTAAGCACATACCAATCTAACTTATCAGCTTCGTCACTTTTACGGAATGATGAAGCCGACCGAACAAGCGATTAATGTCCTAAAAATGCACAATTTATCGATGGACATGTACCTCGAGGCCTTTATTTTAGTCCTGCAAAAAATGTTTAAAATTTCGGCCTCCCCACTTTGGCTACAGACCTGTGAATTCCCATTCCTCCTTCACGATTATTCGTTTTTGCATGTTCTGATTGGCTGTCTGTGGATAAAAAAGTGGCAGCCGCACGTAATTGGCGTGCACGACCAAATAAATTCCCCAGGGTCGCCACGTTCGCCAGAACTACTCTGATTGGGACACACTTTTAGGACATTCAATAGTGCATAAAACCTGCCCTGACATTCGGGTCCGCAGCTTACTGTTGTGCAGGAGAACGCTGTCAACAGTAACACAGTAGGCTTAAATTCTTCCCTAAATTACGTGGATATTCGAGCAGATATGGTAATTTGCTTGTGGTAATGAGTTAGGAACCACACATTTAAGGTTGTTTTAGGAATTAACAAAAACCCCGAAGTCGGCCATGTTCAGGAACGTCCACGACAACGCAGGGACTGAGTTCCATCAACCCAAACCTCACTACATCAACCACACAGACACCCAAATGGAAGAGGTGAGTTCGAAACCTTCTAGTCAGCACCACAGTTCAAATTCGCCTGTTTAGTCCACTCCAATGTACAGTTTACACAGTGGTGAGCACGTCAACCAGGGTACCGTGGCCGGCATAACAGGATTCAACCCTCGCAGTTCGACTGTTCAATCTGCCGATACCCCCACGAGTCTTTTACGCACTGCTCATGCTTTACATCGTGGTCAAATAAAGTCAGGATTAAAACGACAACATATTTTATATTAGAAATAAACGTTAAGTCAAAACAGCGGCCTCGTTGTGGGTAGAATTCGAGTGAATTAAAATTGTCAGGTGATTGACAGACTACATTGGGTGATTGTTAACTCCACCTATCAAACGACCGATTTTCAAAAAGGCACATAATGGTCTCGTATTTTGAGAAGTTGAAAAATAGAAGCACAAAACGGAGAAATGGAAAAGAGTAGGATTTATTTACAGGTTTATTCATCCACGTTTTATTTCTTATTCGATAAGCGTCCTCGACCTTTACCTCCTTTAGCATGACGACTGGGTCCGCGCTTTTTCCCCTTTCTGACTTGAGCTTTCTTTCCTTTAGATTGTTTCTTCCTGAAAAAAAAATAAGCAAGTGTGTTTTAGAAGCCTCAGAAAAACTAAATTGAGCCGACTACAGGTCATAGTACACTTTTACCGAACGAAGCGACATCAAACAAAAATTTGCAATGAGAACACAGATTTTTGCCAAACACGATTGCCTTGTAATCTGACGTGCCCATTAGATAGTAACACAATTGAACCAAATGAGTGGAAATAAAAATGGGGCCACACGATCCCGATAAGAGAAATGAGTTAAACTTAATGTGGTCGAACTTCCCAAATCAGTTGGTTAGTTCACTCACAGAGGCAAATACCGGTCAAATTTAACTCGTCTGCCTGTGGTTGGCCGACCTTACTGCAATTTTGGTGACTTACGAGAAGGCTCGGCAATATTCAAGTATATGAACAACGTGTGAAAAGTGACTCATTTTTATGGAGGAGTGCCGTATCGGAATAAAGCAAGCTCAAAAATAACAAAACCAACTCAGTTTTATTTGCAATCTTCGTTTCATTAATGTCTTCAGAGAAACGACCCATCGACGCATCTGACCGCTTAGTGATTTCAAGGGCTCGGGTTAGAGCGTTCTTAGAGGCCTCTGATTCTGTCAGCACACCAACAGGAGGAGCTGCAGCAATGAACAGAGCATAAAAGCAGTTTAATAAGAACTGAGAACTAGTTTGTTTCACACATTATGGACTCGATCCTGCAAGTAAACCAGTGCACGTTGCTTGAGAGTTAATGACTAACCAAATTAAAGTTTTTGCAGTTAAAGCATGGAAAGTACATGAATGAATACGTCAACAAATACCTTGGCCTTTTTTGATTGATCGAGCAATGTTCTTTAGCCGTGCGAATTCGTTTTTAGCTTTTCGTTCATTTCTTGCCTTCGTTAATTTTTCGAATTGATCTTCGTAAGGATCTTAGGATAGTAGATAATGATTGTGTAACATATAAATACCGGAATTCTCAGGGACTTCTAGTACCCACTTGTCCTTCACCGAATCTACACGGTTTTTGCCCCAGGCTGGTTTCCATGACTGGCTGGCATCATCCCAAACTTTTCTCGACTTCTTATGCTTATTGATTCCCTTCATCTGAGCAAACCTCTCCCACCGCGTAAGCGTTCGCGCACGAGGGGCTTGTTTTTCCCGAGGAAGCCTAAACTTTGGTTCGGGCAGCTAACTTAATAAGAGACAAATAGGCAAATTACAATAGATAACGAAATCCCGTCTGTTTGATCCGTTGGAAGCTGAAAAAAAAACAATTTAGAAAAACACGACCTTACATTCCAGAATTGCCTTAGAAAGTCTCGAGTGCAACTGAGTGTTAAGTCCCGAAGAAAACATTTGTTACTGTTACACACACTGTAAACAAAACAACGCGAGAACTTACACATCCTTGGGATCAAGAGGAGCTTTATCTTCATATAAGAGATTACCAAGGTCGCATTCAGACAGAAGCTGTCGACTGGAAAGATCCATGCTGTCAAAACATCCACGCTACTGTGGTGAGGTGCGGTGTGGCTGTGGCGTCGGATTAGGGCGCAGACATGTTGGACCACCTGGCCGCAGCCAATTCAGTGTCTCTCTGCGTTCCAATGGCGTGCGAGGAAGATCAGCAGCCAACCAGAGAAGGACACGCCTGAGGAGCAAC